TGAAACCATAAAAAAAAAGTCTAAACAAGATCAAGACTTAAGCTTCAAGAGAAGTCTCTAAGTCCAAGCAATCTCAAAGTAACATATCATAGGACTTTGGATTATTTGAAAGGATAATCGATTCCTTACGTGAATGAAGCTCAAAATATTTTTAAATACATGCATTAAATCACCGTTTGACATTCAAATACATTCCTAGCATGAAAATATATTTCTCAATGTTTATCAAATGTTTAAAAAATATTTGAAACTGACTTAGATCAAGAGAAAACCTTTTTGAAGTGAAATCCAACCTTTCAACAGGTTGGTAATCGATTACCTTTCATGGTAATTGATTACTCACACAGTGGTAATCGATTACCTACTGTGTAGAAGACAAAATAACGGCTATAAAACAGTTAGTTTATGAAAATGAGTGGAAAAACACCCACGGGGACCCTCTATAAATAGAGATTAATGTTCCCCTTGATGTGACACACTTCTTGATCATTATTACTCATTTATTATCATACTACTTGCATTATTCTTGTCTTCTTAATCATAAATTCTCTTTGAGCTTCATTCTTGTGAGAGTGTCAACAACCATTGTTCTTCAACTTGTATTATTTGTACTTTGAGAGTACTTAGCCATTGTTAAACACCTCCATTTGATTTCTTGAATAGTTAGGGGAGTGACCCCTATACACTAGAGAGGTCACCAAATTTCTATGAAAATTTGGAGTGAAAAATTGTAAGGCATCAAGAGCCCGAAGTCTTGAAAGGTTGTAGTGATTTGTCAAGCACCCTCAAGCTTGATAGTTAGTGAAAAGAACTGATCGAGCGACTTCAGTCTGGACGTAGGTCACGGTGGTAGTGACCGAACCATGATACATCTAGTTTGCAATTTCTCTAACCTTAACCTCTTTACTTAATTATTGAAATTGCATTTTTAGATTGTCTTTATCTATTCGCTTGCTTACTTTATTGATCACTACACTTGCTCTCACACTTAGATTTTTTCTTATTAAATTACTTTATTGAAGAAATAATCTTTAAAATATCAAAGGAGGCACTTTGCGAAAAGATTTTGTAAAACTCAATTTGTAACACCCCATATATATCCGGTAATGTTAGCACACTATCGTATTAAGTTGCGTTTAATTAAAAATGTGGAATATCTTTTTCTTCTCAATTATGATGTCATTATCATTACCAACTTGCTTATTATTCAATTAATAAAACATCGCCTGTATGTAATTGCAATAAAACAGCTATCTGAAATACCTCATTAAATAAATAACATAAGATGGATCTCTAGTCACGGAACTACAACAAGGTAGACCGGACCATCTAACATTTTATACAACTCCAAATAAAGTACTAACAACATAGTGACATGGACAACATCCCATGCTCACCCGAATAAGGCAACAAAGTCCAACATCAGTCTCAACTCAAAACAAAACATAAAGAGCATAAACATAAACAACATCTAATCCAGTCATGCTAGCATAAAGCAGTAATAACATAATCAGCTAAGCTCCGGCCTCCTGCCGCCTGAGGCATCGACCCCCATACTACCTGGTCCTGAAATAAGCATTTCCCAAACGTGGGGTAAGATCTCTAAACTAGAAATCTCAGTAAGACAGTGAGTCCTCAAGGATCTTCCACCCCAAGCTCACTTACATGTGCAATATAAGTTCAAAAGCAGTTTATCATCATCCGTTCTAAATCAGTGCAATGCAGCAGATAATCATGTCATGTGTGTCAAATACTATTCTACTGGCCAGAGATATGCAGGATTTATGTACGTCTAAATCCTGCCATGTGCAAGTGCTACTTGCATCCACCCCGGACCACCGTATTGTATGGCGTCACATACTCAGACTTCCCGTCAAGATGGAACAACACATACATATTAAAAGCCATTACACATAAAGCTCAACAACAATTCATATATATAAAAGCATGAAACACAACATGCATATAACCATACTCCCGTGGGACATGGTGGAACCATAACATGGCTAAACCGAGGACACGAAAGCTTACCTCTCAAGCTATCCGTCCAAACCAAGAGTCCACACTGGCCCAAGGTCACCAAACAGCACAATCACAGTCTGTTTATAACAGAATATCATCAATAACCATACTTGATTGCTTAATCATTTTCAATACTGCATTTTCATCTCTTTATGAAATATTCTAATATTTTAATATGTTAAACTAGACATCTCCAGCTTTACAACAACATATTATACGCCTCAATCGGAGTTGTATAACTCCGGTTATGTTTTACGCAAAGTGACTGTTGTAACCGGAATTTCCAGTAACCAAAACGCGACTTCAAAATGACACTGTGATCAAACCACTTATTCAATGGCTACTAAATTTTACAGAGTTGTAGACCTATGTGTTAGATTTACATAGGTCCAAACCTCACTCAATTTGGAGCTCTGTAGCTTGAGATATCGCAATTTTACTAAACTAGGTCGTTGCTGTCACATTTGCACTAGGTAATCGATTACCATACAGGGGGTAATCGATTATCACCTGTGCAGAAACGCGAAAATGCAGATTTTTCTGCATAATCCGAGCTCCAATGGCCTCCCAAGGTTCCCAAGTCCGATTTTTCGTCAAAACAGATATTCATTTACACTTATTAGCCTTAGATTAACAACATTTAACATGATTAATCAAAGTTACCTTTTTTCATGGCATAAACAAGCTATTTTCAAGAAATTTCAAAGGGAATGTTCAAGGTATACCTATGGGGTCCTTGAACTCAGAAAAAAGAAGAGTCTTTAATGCTCAATGAAGTGCCCCAAGCCTTTGCCTTAGTGGTGCACGAAAATCACCACACAAAGGTAAGTTCTTTCCCTCCAAAGCTTGGTTCTTTAAGCTCCAATGGAGGTGAAATGCACTCACACTCCCACAACCAAGGAGGTAGCCCCCAACACTCAGAAAAACAGCACCTTGAGCTCACAAGAACACTCTCCCCACTTTCCCAAAGCTTGTCAAAAGCTCACCCAATGATGGAGAAAGGCTTTTCAAGAAGAAAATGTGGAGTCTTTGGCTTAAAAATGAAGAAAAGCTCCAACTTTGCAATGGAGAAGAAGGTGGCAGCCAAGGGAAATCAGAAACTCACGTAGGAAGGCTTCAAATTCTAACCTAGAAGTGTGTGCCCCTTGTATTTATAGGTGCGTTTAAGTTAATCGCGCAGTATTAACGTTAATAGCTACGCTTATCATTTTAATCCCAAACTTTGGAATCTGAAACTACTCAATTTTACAAGAATTATCATATTTTTCTTATAATTTTCGGAGCACCTTTCTGGTATGCGATTTTCCATAGTCGGTATCAGTTCAGACACCAATTCTCATTATTTTAACTTGAAATTCGTTTTACAAGTCCTATATATTATTCTCATAATATATAATCACTTTTCATAATTTTCCGAGATACTTTTTAGGTACACATTTATACCGACTAGCAGAACTGGTATCTGCACTTTTCTTCCGAAAAACGACTTTCAGCATTATTACTCACTAATTATAATTATTAAAGCCTCATGATATCTATTAGGGTCAATTATGGAATCATTTTCTAATTTCACATAATTAATTAATTAACTTCTTTAATTAACGGTGCAGATTCTTACACAATTCACCCCCCTCTTGAGTATTGTAGCCACTTGTCCAACAATCCCCACCCTTAGTATTTACTTTTACTTTTCTTATTATCAAGTTTTCTCACACTAAAATTTCTTTCTTTTTCTCTCCCTCTTTCTTAATGATGTTTTCTCTAAATTTTTTCAAGACCCTTCACTCCTTGATTTCTTTAAATTTTCAAGTAATGACTAATAGTTCATCAAGTCTCTATTTATAAGAAAAATATTATCATACCAATGGTAAAAGTAATATGGTAATAATAAAATATTATTTACCTAATAATTATTAAATAAAACATTCCCATGTGAATGTCTTGAAATTTTGTTTGTGATAATTTATGATTGATTTATATATTTTTGAAGTACATTTTATAATAATTTATCATTGATTTATATATTTTTGAAATATTTTTTTAATAATTTTGTGATTGAATTATATATTTTGGAATGTTATTTATAATAATTTATTATTGGTTTATATTATTATTATTTTTTAAGGGTTTTACACTTGATATTACTAAAAAATTTAAAAATAATAAATCATTAAATTTTTTAGGGAGAGCTATTGTTAGAGGAACTGGGATATGAAAAAAAAAAGAATTCAAAGAAGCACTCGATGAGTTGGTTGGTTTAAATCATATATATTTCACGTTTAGCTTGATCCATGTTTTTAACAGATTTGGTTTCAAAATATGGCATATCTAGGAAGATAAAATTTGGGACGTATTTGAAAATCTTTCTATAATTATTACCTTTATTTAATGGGAAAAATATTTATAAGTTTATATTCTTTTAGATCCTAATCGTTGATTTCTGTCCATCAACGGTTATAATCTATTGGGTCAAACTTAATAAGCCAAATTTATTATTAATTAATTAATAATTTTAATCCAATAAATTATCACCGTTGATGGACGAAAATCAACAGTTAAGATCTAAAAGAATATAGGTTTATATCCTTTAAAAGAATAGATGTTATTCCCTTATTTAATTATAATTGTTTTCATTTTTTTAGTAATTTAAATGCTGAATAATCTGTAATAAGCAATTCTTATTTTTTATGTTTAGCAACTTTCCTTATTTATAGGAGATAAATATCCTTAACTTTATCTTTTCTTTTAATAGGATTTGAATCTTGTTAGGATATTTTTTTTTAATAATTTATTTTTTGGTAATCTATTTCAATTGATTTATTTTCGATTTAGTTTGTATTAAAAATAAATATCAAACAACTTATATTTATAAGGATTTATAAGAATAATGTTACAAGATAACGATAGTATCATACCACCGACTTATAATATTTATATGAAAATGATTTTTATGAGGCCCACTTTCCTGCAACATGAACAAACCATAAACCATATTTATATAGCCTGCACTCGCTTTGCACACCTTCTTCATAGGGTTTTATCACACACTCAAATCCTCAATCATGGGCAGCAAAATCAGGAGACCATCTCATGCTGGTTCTTGGTACACAGACAATCGTAAGCATCTAAATCCAACCACTAAAAAACCCTTAAAACTTGAGTTGAATTTTGCTGATCAAGTTCAAAAGATCGTTTTTTTTTTTTTTTTTTTTTGATACATAAAAGATGGGGTTTTTACCTTTCAATTAGTGTTCATTTTTATTCATGCCATTTGGGTGAATGTTACACAGTCAAAATTTGAGTCTTATAATGAGCGATTGATTCTTTGAGACAAGTTTCAAAGTTCTCAACTTTTTTTAGTTTTTTTATTCGCTCATTACTCTTCTACATGTCAGTTTATTTGTCAGAGAGCAAAATCTCTCTTTAATATCTTTTTCTTTTTATTTTTTTATATTTTCAGCTAAGCAACTTTCAGAAGAACTTGAAGGATGGCTAAAATCTTGTGGTCTGACCAAGTCTCCTGATGTACGAGGAGTAATAGCACCGTAAGTTTTAAAAGTACTTGTTATTTTGTGATTTGATTTTTGAGGTTAACAATTCTAATGTGCTTGTGTTGCATTGGAATGTTGTTATGTTAGACATGCAGGTTATTCCTATTCAGGACGAGCTGCTGCCTATGCCTTTGGAAACATAGATCCATCTAACATGTGCGTTCATGTCTTGTTTGCTTCTCTTAATGTTCCACATTCATGAATTTTTTTTCCAAAGTGAGCAAGTAAGGGAGTATCAATCCTTAAAATTTAAGAAATTAAATAAGAAGGATAAATGCACCCTCACTTGCCCAATTTATAGACAAGTTTATCCCATGCTTCTATACCATCTTCCCCCTTCATTCCTATTTTGGAAATTGTCAGTTGATGTGTTTATAGAAACTGGATTAGCTTCAGGGTGCTGTGCTGTTTCCTGTGAACTTGTGGATGATTGTTATTTTCTTTCTATTTTACGGTTTCAGTACACGTGTGTTCCTTCTTGGTCCTTCTCACCACTATTACACTCCAAAATGTGCTCTTTCAACTACAACAGTCTACAAGACACCTATAGGGGACCTGCCTATTGATTTGGAAGGTATCAATTGAGTTTCTAAAATCTTATCAGTACAGTTCGTTGGTAATTCTTGCCTGTTTTCTTTGCAATGATGAGATTGTGCGATTTAATTATGAATGCAGACTTTTCTTTGCAGAACATTGATGAACAAGGGTAATCTATGAATTGTGAAATAGAAATAAAATAATGATATGCGTATGTAAAATCAAATTTTTATTTTTGTGATATTGGTTTTCTATCTATCTGAGTTGTGAAGACGCATGGCTTGTTTGAATTGTTTTGCGAAGAACTGATTCATTTTGTCTGACTTTGATATTGACTTCTTTCTTTCCTCATTGCCCAAATTCAATTCTCTGTAATTTTACCAGTCAACGAGGAGCTTAAAGCTACGGGAAATTTTGAACTAATGGATATTCGCACTGATGAGGCTGAACATAGCATGGAAATGCATTTGCCATATCTTGCTAAAGTATTTGAAGGGTAAATTTTGTTATATAGAGGTTCCTGTTCTGAAACCTTTCAACAGAGGCTGAATTTGAATATTGATGCAGGTACCAGGTGAAAATTGTACCCATTTTAGTTGGTGCTATTAGTGCTGAGAATGAAGCTATGTATGGGCAGATTCTTGCCAAATATGTGGATGATCCCAATAATTTTTTTTCCATTTCATCAGATTTTTGTCACTGGGGATCTCGGTAAGTGCTGTTTTTACCTGTTCAACTACCTTATTTATTTATTTTCTCCTAAGATCTTATGAAAGTATACTGTTGAGATTGTCTGAGTTGTGTAAACTAACACTCACCCACTTGCACACACAAAGCAAACATTCAAAGTCTGGTTGTTTTCCTTTGGTTTATTTATTCCACATTACTGGTAAGATTGATGTTGTTTAGATAGTATACTTCATTGGTAATTATGTAAGTTTTTGTTAAGATGTGCTTCAGTGGTTTGGCTGTTTGTTACCAATATCTATATATTGCATTATCTAGTTATGTATTGTGATGGATATATCATGTTTCTCATTTGTTCCAGAAAGGTGTTGATCATTATATATTTTAGGTTACACATTTCTTCCTATAACCTCTTGTCTTCTGACTGGTGTTTTATGTCAGATTCAATTATATGCACTATGACAAGAAACATGGGCCTATCTACAAATCTATTGAGGCCTTAGACAAGATGGGCATGGATATCATAGAAACAGGAGATCCAGATTCATTCAAAAAATATCTATTGGAGTATGACAATACAATCTGTGGACGGCATCCAATTAGTGTTTTTCTCCATGTAAGTTCCTTATAAATTGCCACAATATCCTAATGGAAGTAGCTCTTGTGAACAATATTATTATTTTATCAACATCAGTATTATTATGAATCATGTTTTCTTTTCACACCTTACTAAGAATGAAATTGATTAATCAATTTGAGAACTTCTTGACCACTCTTTTACCTTTCCAAAAAAAAATATATATATAAAACAAAAATAAAAAAAGAAAGAAAGAAAATAAGAGAAAAGAAAAGGTTATAAAGATTCAGGAAGATCACAGTACTTTGTTGGTTTTCATTTTGAATGCTGTTTGATACCTTGTACTTGTAGTAGTTTTCCTTAACTGTGTATCTTGATGCTTTGATAAAAACGATCTTCCTGAAATAATTTCATTGATCTAAGATGTTAGGTAATTGTTCAAAATTTATCTCATCATGTGATGCTTAGAGCTAAAAATGTTTATTATCTGATAGGAACCAGAATGTAGAAATAAGAAATGGAAGAAAAACTGAAGTGTGTATATTGATTAATGCTGGCAATTCAGCAGCAGTACAAGTTATGTTGTAAAACTGAGAAAAATACCAAAAAAGTAAAAATGCAAGAAAGAACAGATAGGTTTTGAGGGACTCCAAAGGTCTCTCCCAATTCTGGTTTCCCAGCCCCCGTCTGTCCCAAGTCCCTCCCTCTCCACATGCCTCTGGCTCTATTTAACAAACTCTCCTAACCACCTTGCCACCTCAGCAATGATTATTTTCTCCCTTCCAACAGAATTGTGCCCTTTAGGTACGTGTGTTGTTATCTGGAATATTCCCCTATGTTGTTGAGTTACCCTTCCCTTGGTGTCGTACCATAATCTGAGACTTGAACTATTTTGATGAGGACTTCACTTGGAATTCTTTAATATTGGTAATATAATATTGAAGAAAGTCTATCTGCATGTGGTATCTTTGATTCATATATTTTGCAACTTACCACATTTAATGAGTTATTCTATTGGGTGCTGATCTTACATTTACTTTCAACATCTTGCGATTTATCAGATGCTGAGGAACAGCTCAACAAAGATAAAAATCAAATTTCTTCGTTACGAGCAGTCCACTCAGTGCAAAAGTACGGAGGATAGTAGTGTTAGTTATGCATCTGCAGCAGCAAAGATTGATGATTCAAGCTCTAGTTGAAGATCTACCTTCTTTGATGGGGCATTCAGCAATTTCATTTCCTTTAAATTGACTGACTATTTATATTTAAGCTTCGAAACAATTGGATATTATGTTCCTTTTTTTATAGATCATTGTCAATAACATGTAGGGAAGTTGTCAAATAATTATATTCCTTTAGACTTCCAGTTGCCGTCCCAAGCCAACATGCTTGGAAAGTTGCGACTATGAACATGTGATTTGATCATGTTATGGTTGCAACCATCAAATTCTTAATTTGCACTGTGTCATATCAGCTTTGTTTTTAGTGTTGCGTTAGCTGTGGTAATACTAATGAAGGTGTTAGCTTCTTGTGGCATTTGTTGATAATGTCTTAACGTCAGCGATGGAGCAACCCAGCTGCAATTCTGATGCTGATGCTGTCGAATTTGTTTTGTCAAATAAAGGATTTTTACATATTGATTGAAAAATAACTCTGGTAACAAGCATCTTTTGCATCTTAATTTAGAGATATTTATGATAGAGAAGTTAAAAAGTTTGCATCATGTTATAAGTTCATGCCGGATTGTGCGTGCAAAATAGTTATATTATGGATAGATAGTTCAGAATGTGTTGACTAGTGTAGAAGATGCACTATGTTTCGAGAATATAAGACCCTTTGTTGGAGACGTTACTGACAGTAACAAAATATGGGGTCATAGGATTCCAGTGACCTTTTCTCTTTGTTAATATTCATGCAATGACCCGTGACCTTTTTTTTTGTTAATATTAAATTATTGCATGAATAGGTTGTTGAGTGTGGATAATGTACTTATTTGGAGAAAATACAGATGCTACCAAATTTAAAAAAAGAAAGAAAGGAAAATACAGATTATTCCCTTATAGTATTTTCTTTGCTCAATCTGCAATTTTGAGTTATTGTTATTGAACTCCTTAGTTATGGTTGTCGGTGAAAACGATATTTTGTGTTGAAACAAATGAAAGGTACCACATTTAGAGCACTTGACATTTTCACCATTTACCCCCCACTTCTCTTTGAACAATAGCTTCTTATGCCATTCATTGCATTTAACTTCCTCTATAACAATAGTGGCTCCAACGAATCATTTGGCTTTTGCTGTGTTTAAGGAAGCTAGAAGTGGGTTCTTGATGTTGGGGTCTGTGTCAGTTCCTTGGTTATATGAAGGGAGCTTGGTTTGACAGCATAGAAAAGGAACTTGTAGCTCATGATGCATTAGGTATAAGCAAGTTTGGTGATGGAATGTGTAGGTGAATGATAACATGTGTCATGAGTGCAAGGCCAGTGCTGTATAAAGGCTCCAAAGGATTAAGTTACTCATGGTGTTTGTTTCAAATAAAACTACTTGAGTTCTGTTACTGTTATACTTTTAGTACAAAAGAAAGAAAGAGAATTTGGAACCAGAATAGAATGTGTAATCTGAATAATTACATAAGGCTTGAGCCCTTTTATAGACATGTATATGAATAACTGATCCTCCAGCTAATCCTAACCAATTTAACTAACACTGCAACTGTCTAAACTAACTTGGAATCGTTCCTTTATATCTGGTGATAACTTTAACGTTGTCAACGTGATTTCATCATGCTCAGAGAATTTTTTTATTGTCTTTTCCGTTTTCAATTGCTAATAGTTCAACTAGCGGATTGTGAATGGGTTGAAGTGGCATATCGTCAGTCAATATTTTAGTTGTATGTACCAAAATTCTATAATCTGAAGATAGAAAGGCAAGGATGAAAGAATGCAGAAGTGAAGATAAGAATTTGAAGTAATGGTATAAGTGTATAACTAATATCTGAACTAATAAAGAAGTAAAAATATAGGTTTCAACATCAACATCATATTTATCCCAAAATAGTTAGGATCAGCCATCCATATCTACACAGAGGTGGACACACATGTATGAGAAGGGGGGCAACGGTCCACCCTTGAAATCTGATGCGATAATACGAAAATGCACTTATCTTGAAATTCAAGTTTCCCCAATTTAATTTTTCTCCTTCTATTTTATTTTTTCGTGCGCTTTTTTTCTCTTCCACCTCTGTTATCCAAACCTAACAGCAGAGAGCTCTATTCCAGACCCATTGTTTGCATTTGCATATTGATTCATCTCCTCTCAAACCTCAATCTCTGTTATTGGAAGTTGAAATATTTGCTTCTTCCTCCATCGTAGGTCTAGTTGAGTCACAATCCATCCAGATCTAGCCCTAGACCAGACCTAGCCAGCCGGCAACTCTCACAAGTCGCGTTCCAGACCAGACCCAGTTGATGGCACTGTGATTCCGTGACCGATGACCAGCGAAGTTGTTCTCCCGTTCGTTAATTTTTATTGTAATATATTTTTGTTATTAAAATATATGTACTTGAACTTATTGAGTGCCCACCCTTCATTAATTTCCTGGATCCGCAACTGTATCTACGGTGCATCGACACTTCAAAAAAACCTAATGTGTCGTGTTCGACACTCCTTGATACTCCGATACTCCCCGACATTCCAACAAGTTGTAGAGACTCAAAAAAAGGTTCAAAGGTTGTGTTGTGTTGCGCTTTTAGTTCCAACTGTTAGATTTGTTGGATTATAATTTCCATTTGATTGAGTTTAATATAAATATTTGTGATATCTTATGTTTCTTTGCAAAATTATTGGGTATTATATAAGTTTAGCTTCATTTTTTTTTTAAATTATTGAATATTAAATATAATATATACTACGTAAATTAAAAATATTATTTAATATCAAAACGTGTCCTAACATGTTGAAATTTAATATGTTTTAGAATTAACGTATCGGAGTGTGGTGTTCGATGTTGGTGTCGATGCAACATAAATACACATCATTAAAATCTGCAAAGGCAATCTGCATCTACATGCTCATGGGTGTAAGATAATAGTTTAGAAAATTAAATGTAGGAGATTTTTTAATAGTTAGATTGAATTCCCACCAAATACATTTTTAGGAGCAGCGACGATTCAACTATAATTAAACCCCAACTCAGGATATAGCTTAAAGAATTGAAACTTGTAAAATATGAGAGACCAACTTGCCTCAAAAAATAATTAAGGTCAGTATAAAAAAATAGTTATTGTGAGTTATTATTTGGTTAATTGTTTTATATTTATTTGGTTTAAATTTAATTTTAGCATTTAAGTCTTTCAAAAAGAGAAATATTCAATTCATAGTTACATTACATACCAGAAAAACAATTCCCCCTCTCACAAAAGAAAATTAAAAAATCCCCCCCTCCTAAAGCACGAGATCATTTTCTATTAATCAGTTGTATGTGCATCGCAATTCAGAAAATGATATTTAGTTGTAACCAAAAAAAAAAAGAAAAAAAAGAAAATAATATTTAGACTAAAAAAAATATTTTCTTCTGTTGGAGTTATGTGTTCGACTAAATAATGATGTAAAGAAATTTTATACTGATGTTCCATCAAAAGTTTTGAAGTATACCAATTTACTTTTCTGTATTCTTCTAGGAAAAAAAATCGTTTACAAACTTTTTTACAAATTACACGACCGGTCATACACTCTTGACTGAAGTATGACCTATCATACTTAGTGTAGTTTATAAACAAAAAATTTGTAAATATAACCTTTTCCGTTTTTATAATGATAATATATTATACACGAGTTTTAATTTTGTTAAATTACTAATATAATTTTTACATTATTATTTAATAAATGTGTTATCACGTCATTTTAGTAATTATTTCTTTTCACTTTTTACTACTTTTATTTGATAGTCAATACATGAAAATCAAATTCACATATTATAAAAAATAAATAACCATCTTATATTGTTGGATTTTTAATCTAAGTTATGAATAATCCTTCTAAGTCCTGTCAAAATTTGAAGTGAAAATAGGGTAGAAGATAAGAGTTTTTTTTTTTTTTTTTTTTTTTTTGTAAACAGGATAATTTTACTAGGACCTATTGCTTGACATAATTTTGCTTAACTATTTATCAAGGAAGTTCGTCACAAGCTTTTAAAAATGTCAGGTAGGCCAAAATTATGATTTTAAAATATGACTTTAATGTTTTTACGCGGATAAATTATCTATATTCACTTTTAAAATGACGTCATTTTGGGTTGAAAGATTAAAAAATTATAATGATAAAGACTATTATAAATTTATAACCTTACAATAAATTACAATTATAAAAACACCTTAATTTTCGTCTCAAAACAACGTTATTTTGGGCTCAATGCAGATAAATTTTTTTTATTCACTGCAGAAAAAATAAACCCTTAAAAAATTCTTATTTGTTTTAATCTTTTTATATATTGTTTATTCTTATAATTATATATCATTATAATTTAATTATTTTATATACAATTCAATATTTATGATAAGCATTAAGGCAAATGAAGTTCGGGGGATATGCCAAATTTTCAATTCAAGTATTGTTAACAAAAAGTCATATTGATTTTTATATCATAATTTGAATTAGTGTTTTGTAGCATTTTTATAGACTTTATTTTTGGTATCCACATTTTTATAGACTTTAAATTCGACATACTATTTCATTTAATTTTTTTAATAATGTATTGACACATTGTTAAAAGATTTAATTTTTAAGTAATGATTGTCACAATCAAACTTTCTTAATTATTTGGCAATATACAAGATTAAGTAATAATTTAATAAAAAAAATTATACTGACAATTTATTAAAATAAAATTTTTATACCAACTTAAATATTTGTATTTTTAAAATGATAGAAAAATTATACACGGCTTTTAAATTTGATAAATAATTAGTATAATTTTTTACACAACTATATCTAATAATAATCGTTTTAATAATTAATTCTTTTCACTTACAATAAAGTCTTTCACTACTTTTTTAAGGGGAAGGTTATAATTACTACCTCTCTTTTTTACTACTTGTTACTACTAAATCGTAACTGTTGATTTTCGTCAATCTAACGGTTATAATTTAATGAAAATTAATAATTAATTAATAAGAATGACCCAATAAATTATAACCGTTAGATTGACGGAAATCAACGGTTACGATTTAGTAGTAACAGGTAGTAAGAAAAAAAGGTAGTAACTATAACCTCTCCCCTTTTTTAAACAGGTGACCACATATAAATCATTTGATAACCAATAGATGAAAATCAAATTCATATATTACTAAAAATAATGTTATGATTTTTAGCGTATCTTGTGAATAATCTTTTAAGTCCTGTCAAAATTAGAACAGGCGTGAGGATACAAGGGATACCTTATTCACTTTTAAGTTTTCATTTAATTAAGAACGTTAGAATTATGTCTTAAAAAAGTTTTAACCCACTTATTTATTTTTTATTTTATTTTATATACAATTGAATAATTTTTTTTTCAAATCTATTTGAAATCTAGAAAGCCTGAGTCTATAGGTTGTTTCAAGGACTTTTATGTAATATAAATCTTTAATAGACGTTTACCTTATAAGCTAGACTTTTACATTGTCACAAACAATTAGGTCAGATTAATAATAATAATAATAACAATAATAATAAAATTTGATAAACATTAAGCCAATTTAAATTCAGACTTTTGCCGAATAAAACCAACCTATTTATAAACAAAGCCTAAACTAATTACTACAAAAAAAAAAAAAAAAAAAGCCTAAACTAATTTAAGCATAGTGAGAAAGAACCAACTGTCAAAACAAGACAAAACTTCAATCAAGGCTAGAAGGGCTAGATATCAAATTGATTAACACAGTGATATGTCTAAACTAATAGGAAAGCACCTAGAAATATTTTATGTACTATTACACTTCATATGTGATAATAGTACAAGTAATCATTCTTTGTGACCTTAGCATAAATTATGGGAATGATATTCTTCTGTGACATGAATTTATGTAAAAGAATCTTAATGCATTCTCTCATCATTATTAAGTTGCATGGTTGTAATCCTCTCATTCCCATACAAGTTCTAGTTCCTTTGGGTCAACCATTCATATGTCTTTTTTCACCTCAATGCATCTCAACTTGATTCTCTTAACCGAGGGTTTTTCTGGCTGCTTATCATTGGAAAAGCTGATACAATTACCATCTGGCTCCCGAGGCTCAAGAACATAAACACTTCCATCTGTGAGCCCCACAGCAAACTGGCTTGGTTTCTGTGGATGTGCAGCTATAGAAATTGGGTAGACGCTCAAGCTGCAAACAACAAATCATATGTAAATTACATTGAGTGGCAATGTCACATTTGTAATGAACAAGAATTCAAGGCTATAGCTAATATGTATAAATTAACAATAAGTCTACACTAAGGTGCACTACTTGAGTAGGAAATATGATATCATTTATCTTAACAAGCTTAGGATTATGATATAAAGCTATGGCAAATTAACCTTCAAATTGCAACTCTAGAGAGATTAAAAAAATGAAGACATACCTTGAATATGGAGAAAGGAAAGTATATGGATGGACCCTACAATGCATTTGGAATTTTAAAGCATCAAATATTGCCAAAGTCCCATCAACAAAAGTGGCATACACAATCTGACCGTCAGATGAAAAAGTTGCCTGGGAGATTGCCACTGAAACTTCTGGAATCCACTGGTATGCAGAAAAAAAAAAAAAAAAAAAAAAAAAATCAGAGAAAAAGAAGAAGAAAAAAACTGCATGATATGTGAGGGGGGAGCAAAGAGAAACCTGGTTGACACATGTTAGTTCTGTTGCTTCATAAATTGCAAGATGACTATTATGTACAGCTAGGAATTTTATCTGATCTGGATGAAACTGAATTTGAGTTTCAGATAGTACTTCTGGCACCTTCTGTTCATGTATTTGCAAGTACCTCTCTTTCAGTTTTTCCCACCCATTGGTATTCCATACAACAATCTGTCACAGAGAAATCAGATTAGTGACAAAGAAATTTACATACCAAAAAAAAATAATAACTGATAAATATGTTTTAACCATAAGCTGGATTTCAATTAAAGAACCTTGCTCCTCTTTGTGCGTATTTAAAAGTATTCCAGTGTAATTATAAAAATGGTTCCAACTATCAAATTGAAAGAAGCTCATGCTGGCCAAGAAAGCAGGGGAGATAATTGTAAAATGGTAGTTGTGGTAGCCATGATGCATGTAATGTATATTACATACTAACCTGAGAATTTACATCACCAGAAACAAGAACATTCAAAGTATTTGAGAAGGCAAGAGCAGTAACTCTTTTAGAGTGGCCCTCAAGCTTGATTTGAACCTGACAAAGATGAGTGACCCAGAAAGCTAGTTTTAATAATTTTTAAACATGTAATGATGCATGTCTTTCTCAAATGACAAAAAAAAAAGAAAAAAAGAAAGAAATATACCTCATGGTTTACGACATGGTATATAAGTATGCTGGAGTTATCCATGCCAACTGCAAGAACATTATTATCTTGAGGGTAGAGAGCAAGACATGTTACCATAGGTGGTGGAGGCATGATAGTTTCAATAGTCTGTATTTATCAGGAAATGTGTAACATATGATTAGTTAAATCATAACAATAACATCATTATGAGTAGCAAAATAATAACTAATAGCATGTAAGGTTTTTATTAACTTTTGTAGATGTCATATAAAATAATGAAAATATCAGCATTAAACAATTTCATAGCAATGAATGCGACTTGTTTGGAACATCGACCAAAATGTCATTTTTTGGCAAATTTTTTAGCCAAATGCCACGCGAACAGTACTTTTTACTAAACTGCCACGCGACGTAATTCGCTATAACTGGTATCAAACTCCGTTCGCCAATAATTTTGTGACACGTGACCCACCTCCGCAGGAAAAAGTTGACCAGACTAAGTTCGCTACCAGTGGTAGCGAATTTGGTACGCAATATGGCCATGTGTCACGAAATTATTAGCGACGAAATTCGCTATCAGGGGTAGCGAACTTCGACACATGACAGTCTAGTAAAAAGTACTGTTCACGTGGTATTTGAGAATTTTTTTTGCCAAAAAAATGACACTTTGGTCGATATTCCAACTTGTTTAGCAATGCGAGATTCTATCTTTAAGGTTATACCTTAAATGTATTTATATTGAACAAGGAGATCATCCCCCCCGATGTTGACATGAGATATGAATCCGTCTTTGTTAAAGCAAAAGACGAAACTAAGTCTCCATGGTTGTTGCCACTTATAACGTTATTGCTCATAAATTTCAAGCCATTACATGGTTGCCATAATTCAGGGCAAACTTGTGTTGTTGCCTACAAGCAAAATATAATTATATGATTAATCTTTTATGATAAAATCAATCTCCAAACTTGAACTTCATGGTAAATAAGAACAAACCGAAGAGAGGGTAACAAAAGAGGGGGGAAAAAATAATATCAAAAGAAAGTGAATATGACATTTCCACTTACCTTGGCATCCAAGTTGAAGCTACTAAGTCGCCATGCCCAAACTGGATGAATACCATTCGATGTCAAAGCCAAAATGGCATTTCCCGCGTGAGTGTAAGTTAGTCTAACAATCTGCTTCATAGAAAGTTAATGATTATTTTTAGTTCTATGGAACCTAGTTGTCCATTTATTTGTTATCTTGCATATCCCATCTTATAGTTGTTTGTGCAAAACATATCTCATGTGGATTAAAACTTTGAGATTGATATAGTTTATTTGCTTCTAATTAAGCCTTATTTTTATTTAAACGGAACTCAAATTGTAGTTGCAATATGATAGCATATTTAATATCAACATATTACTAAATATAAAGAAATCAAATGATAGCCACACATTAAGGGATTAAGGAATCATGACATTGACATGTTTGGTGTTGAAATATTGTCAGAAAACAAATAATCTCAGTAAGCCATATAAATGATATACCTTGTTGTTTATTTCGGAATGCATAGGGAGCCGCAAGACCCGGCACTGAGATGGTCTACAAATTTCAAATAGATTCTTCATTTTGTTATGGGATTCTACAATTGAATTAGGTTGATCCTCCAAAACTTTTTTGCAGCCACTCTGTAAAAATAAATAAATTATGTTGATAAAAAAAATTAAAAAATTCTAAGATGCATGAAAATGTCAAGAAAGCAAAGTCAACTCCAAATAATGAAAAGTAACAAATATTTGCGGTTTCCTTCAAATACTCCTCATCAAAAAACTGTAAGACTAATTTGCATGAGCTTTTTATACATTGTTTTTTTTTAAATAACTTTTTTTAATAGATAAAGTTATTTTACGTTTAGAAGTATGATCTGAAAATCACTTTTACATAAAAAAGTTGTTTGGATGTTAAAATAAAAAAAGCACTTTTATATATAAAATTACAATAAAGGAGAGATAAAATAACATGATCGTGAGATAATGATTAATGAGAGATAAAATATGTATGATAAGATAAGGTTAAAATTGTATTTTAAAAATTTATATTATTTTTTTCTAATTTTTTTTTTTATATTATCTTTTAATTTCTGCTTTTTTTAAAAGCTACCAACTACTGGCTATAAAAAAAATAGCATTTTAACTTTTATTTTAAATTTTGCTTTTTTAAAAAGTTGTTATCTTAACATCTAAAAATTCTCAAAAGCACTTTTATTTTAAAAAAAAGCAACTCTTTTAGAAATAAAGGTCCATTTAAATGGGCACTAAGAAGACAAACTCTTTCATCACATTACAGCATAAGGTGCGTATTTATAACTAATCGCAATCAAAATCCTAGTCAAATAATATACAAAAAAAAAATCCTGGTCAAATCCTGAAATTTTAAAATACAAGTATATTAAAATATAAATAAATAAATAGTAATTATTTTGAATCATTGATGAAGGAAGTTTAGGCTTTCGATTATGAAAATAGATTCTAAAATAACTAACCATTAAAGGTTGAACAAAAAGGTTTCATCCAACTGACCTCATCAGAATCCATAGAGAACTCCAAATTTGTTTCTGCATAAAGGCCATGAAGAATTATATCATAAGCAACAAGGCAAAGCTAGGCTGAAATAGTTAGTTAGCAAAAGAGAAAATTCCTATAGTAGGGGAAAAAAATTAAAATAATAATAAATAATTAAAAAATACATCGAAAATTTAAAAAAAAAAATTTCAAAAATTGAGGACTAAAACCTCTTAGATAAGCAAGCATTAAATTGATGACCTAGCAAAAAAATCAAAGCCTATACCTGAATTTGTAGGAGCAGTAATATTAAAAGGATTGGAATAACGGACATGGTCCCCAAAGAGATCAGGTTCTGAAGTAGGGTTCTGATGCTGCCAATTTAAGCTAACAAATTGGACAAAAAATAAGTTTTCTATAAGTTACTGAAATGTATGGCTTGATATGAAGCATAGTAGTAAAAACTGTAGACAATGCAATATAGGGCAAGTAGCCTAAAAAAATGTGGAGACAAACATCAATGCCTAGCATATCAATACTTAAACTGAAAAAAATAGAGTGGAAACCTTTCATTTAGAAGATGACTTAGCCTGTGACTTTTAATAGCAGGCAATTTTAACTTTCCATCTAACAGAGGATGTTTCTTTATAACTTCCTTAATTTCATCCATCATTTTTTTCCTCGCAGAATTTGCATCTTGATATGTTGAAAGTGATTTACGTTCCCTGTTTAGGTCCAGAAAAAAGGGAAAGACAAAAGAGAGATAAAGCATGCATGTTATCAAGGATGTAATTCAGAACCCACTAGCATATAATTGAATCATACCTTATGTTTTTTATTGTCAAAAGTTGAGTCATATTTTTGAACAGCCCTTCATCCATTGGGGCAAATACTTGCAGATCCTTCAAGAGGATATCTAAAGCCTTGTAACGATCGTTACTGATGAAATTAATTTGACAAGAAGTTTAACATAAGAATTAATACACTATGAACGAACAATGTATAAAGCTTCCTCCATGCACTAATTATCTAGACCATTCTAATATACATAAATACCGCATCTCTAATTATTTATTTTCCATGTCTTTTCTACCTATTCTTTTCCAATATTGTTACATCACAATCTCAAGAGGAGAGAGAAATAGTAAAGTCAATTGAAATTTATGATCTAACGGTATTGAAGATTAGGCATAAAAAAATATAGACATGCATAATATATCCTATCCTTATGTAATGAACCAATTTTTTCAAAAAAGTTATTGTTAAGTGAAGGCATATATATTTATGATTTACCTGTCCAAAGCCTCAAGGAATTTCTGTTTCCTCATTTCAAAGTATATTTTGATTGAGTGATTATTGTCCTTAATCCTTGTGAACGCAGAAAGATAGCTCTCAGCATCATCCCACTTACCCTCAAGCACCAAGTCCTCAAAATGCTTCATGTCAAAGTATAACCCACTTTCACGCTGAAGCCTGAGAACAAAAGATTATAGAAAACAAAATACAAAAGACAAAACAACACTAACTCATAACGTTAAAAACCACGTAATTAAGAAGCCTTGAGTTAGACATACGTGTGAGCGGTTTCACTGAGACCCTTCTCATCAAAATACTGTAAGGCTAAGAAGACAAGCTCTTTGGTAACGTTAGACATACTGATTTGCTGATAACAGTTACGTTCTTCTTCCAATACCTTTTGAGCAGAGTCTGTTTATTTCGAAAGTCTTTAGAACATAAGGTTTGTTAAGGTATTTATAATTAATCACAATCACTTGAAAACAAAATCGAATCAAAAAATTAAAAGAATCTAGTCAAATCTGAATAAATTTTTCAAAATCGATAACTTTATAGTTTCCTAAAATTAATACATTCTTAGAATAAGGTAAAATCTTGAATTATAAAAAATACTACAATTAGAGAGAGGATCTTTGTGTAAGATTAATAAATTTTACTTCCTATCTCCGTGGTTAATCCAATGGTTATAGTATATTTTATTATATCTATAATTAATTAATTATTATTTTTAAATAATCTATAACCGTCAAATGGATCAAAATTAATGGCTGAAATAAAGAATAAGATTTATTAATATCATACTGGAGTAAAAAAATCCTCCCTGGTACAATTATTTTCTTAAAACTAACATAAATATTTCTTAAACATTTTGAATCTTTAAACTATTTTTTGTAGACCATTTTTTGTAATTTTTTAAACTCAAACCAACAAACTTAAACATTTTTTTAATTTTGCTCTATATTAGATGGTGTGAACCTCCCACGGAAGCTACATGAAACTCGCCCTAGTTTATCTAGCTTTGTATTCGAATGAAAATAGGAGTAACAATTCTAGGAGCTGTGTTATTTGAACAGAACCTTGACAAAGAAATTTCATAAATCTAGCATCCACCATCTATGTATTGCAATAAAAAAAAACACCAATTCTTAATGTTCATAATAAAGGGTGTCAATCAAATGTATGTGAAATTCCTGTGTACAGTAACACGTGCAAACATAATTACTATTGCAGTAAAGTGGAGCCACTAGCGTCTTTTACTATATTTATACTAACAATTATTAGCAAAAGGTTAGCTATGGAGTGACGCGTCGATACGGGAAAAAAGTTCTGGGTTCGAATTTTGTTTGTTATTCTTTATTGACAAGTTTTTTTTTTTTTTGGTAACATAGCTGCAAGTATTTATCAATAAAAAAAAATAGTTTATGGGGTGCCTTGTGAAATAATTTATTCACCTTTTAAATTTTTTTACTAAAAAAAATAGTTTATTGTTTGTCTAAAAAAAGTCATGTTAGATATCTATATCTTCATTTGGACGATTCCAGGACTTGTGACAAGTACAAATCCCTTTCAAACCGGGTTAGTTCCACCATTGGAATTTTTATTTTGGTAATTCCATTGGAAGTTAATAAAGGACTTGGGGGCCAAATTAGCTGTTTGACCAAATTGCCATTTTTTTTAAAAAAAATTATTAACTGAATGTTAGACAAGAACATTAAATTAGATAAATTAACCAAATTGATATTAACTGAACATTAAATTGAAAATTGTTATCAAATTTTATTAAGTTAAATAATAAAATCATAAACAAATCTCAATTGTTTCACACAATCTGTTGAATCCTTCCAAATTTAAAAATGTTAAATTTATTACTAATAGGGTTAAGTTGACTATTGTTTTTTGGGAGAAAAAACTTTTTCTGCAACGAATTCACACAGTATATAGAGAAGAAATTTTTCATGGAACGAATTAACACTATATATTATGAGTAGTACATAGTTATAATATTAAAGTTAATTTTTTTATTTACAAAAAAAAATTGATTTTTCTCTCTCTACCACGTCAGCCAACAACCATTGAGAGAGAAAAAAATAATTTTTAAATTTATAAATATATATTATTCGTAATATATAATATTAATTCGTCGCAGGAGAAGAAAACTTCTACGGCTTTTTCACCCTTTTGCTCCTTATTAATTAATTAATAACCATTTTGCCCCTGATTCGAAACTATTTATCAATCTGCCCCTCTTTAATCGACTACCTTGCATTTTTAATCGACTAAATGGCCAAAACAGACAAAAAATGGATGTTGGGAGATTTAGTCGACTAAATCTCCCTATTTAGTCGACTAAATCTCCATATTTGACAAAAAAAAAATAAGTCAGTATGATTTTAGTCGATTAAGTAGGGAGATTTAGTCGATTAAATCTCTCAACAACCATTTAGTCGATTAAACATTCAAAGTAGTCGATTAAAGATGGGCAGATTGATAGATAGTTTCGAATCAGGGGCAAAATGGTTATTAATTAATTAATGAGGGGCAAAATGGTCAAATAGCCAAACTTTTACTACATGAAAGCAATATTTCCCTTTTTTTTCTCTTTTTTTCCAAAAAAATCGGTTCATTGGATTTTTGTTTTTGGAAATAAGGAAAGAAAAAGGAAAATCAATAATTATATTATTATTATTGAATTTGCTATGGTAATCTTTTGAAATTCCTAGAAATGAAAAATATCAAATCTATTATTAAAATGACAATTTAACTATTGATATTTTTTTCCTTTTCGTCCAAAAAATTTGATTTTTGATTTTTTTTTTGGTAAATAAGGAAAACAATTTAATAATCAATAAAAAAATATAATTAATAATAATAATTTTCAAAATCCCTATAAATTCAACCATGTCAAATTTATTATTATTATTAATAATAATATGATTATTGATTTTTTCCTTATTTAAAAAAAATCAATTGTATTGAAATTTTTTATTTTCCGAAATTGCTTAATAATTTTTCTTTTTTTACTTATTATCAATGCTATGATTGATTTTTTTTCCTTATTTAGTTAATTTGGTTAAGATAATGCTCTTTTTTATGATATTTACTTGAGTAAATAGGGCAGTTACTTGACTAAATATTACGAATAAAGTAACGACACATGTAAAGTGTGACTTTAATATGGAGGCCATTTGATTAACTTTGGTCAAACAAAATTAAATTCAGAAGTGAGGCATATTAATATTTAAAAAAAAAAATATTCAATCAGCCAAGCAAACGTCTTGGTCTCTGGCACAAAAAAACATTTAACGCTATATTATTATAATTTGAACGTTGTAATGCCTTTGCAAATAATTTTACCTGCGCCTAGCCAGCCTCCAATCATTTTGGTGAAAAAGTCCATTTGCAAGACCTTTATTAGAGTAAAAGTAAGAATAATGTCTATATCTATAATTATACCTACATCTATATATAAGGAAAGATAGTTTGAATGTAAAATATGAGTACCAAGTTTAACTTTAAGTAAGAAAATATATACTTTTATGAGATTAATTAAATGATACTCTTAAAAATATATTCTTGGGGAGGGGGCTGAACCTTTAGCCATCACTGTTTTCCCGCACTCCGGATTAGTCCCATAGCCGGCTCAAAGAGTCGAAGCTCGTGGGGATACCGGAGGGAGCTAACTCGTCTCAAAGAGTTAATTAGGGTTGGATAACTCCAAAAAAAAAAAAAAAAAAAAAAAAAACAAAATTAAGGAATTAATTATTAAATTATCATTATTGATAAAAAAAATTAATATTTTTAAATTTGCAAGGATTTCAAAAGATGATGCAAGATAAATGAAAATCATTTACCTTGTTAATTATTATTTGATATAATAAGTTTAGGGAAAAACTACTCTTATGCTACATGTGATAACTTTTTCTCCTACACACCTTTCGATAATTGTGCCATCTTTTTTTTTTTTTTTTCAAGTGGTGGAGCTCACAAATTTATTTCTATGACATGAGATAACTTATCTTCTTTAACATAAGATTAATAAAACTCATAAGTTTATTATTAATTTGCAAAATAATAATTACATTATTTATGCTTTTTAATTATTATTTAGGATGATAATTAATATTTAACTGAAGTAAGAGAACAATGAAATTTGTGACGATAACCAAAATTCTAAACAGATGACACTCTGATCCCGCTGCCCCTAGCAACTCCCAACTTCTGTCATAACTTCCCATCCCATTATGTTTCAATAATTTTCTTCTCTGTTCATTGATCAAAGATTCAAAAGGCCCAGTTACCTAGTTCCCTTCAGTCAAAATTTAAAAAAAAAAAAAAAAAAACCATTTACAATTTCTTGTATCTCTCTTTTGTCTTTTAACAGTAAGATATTTTATTTTTGATAGGTTATTCTATCTATTTTTATTTTATTTTTTTTTTGCTTATCTTTGTCTATTATTTTTTAATATCATTAGATCAAAATCTCAATAGAAAAAAAAAATGATAAAACTAATTGAAATTCTGATATAATAATGTTGGAGAGTGATAAGTAAATATAAGTAAAAAAATAGATAGATAGAATAATCTATCCTTTTTACTTTATTGCGTTTTGTGAAACATGTAAAGAAAGCTTAGAAGTTTGAATCTCGCAACCCCTTTACTCTATGGGAAAATTACTTTCTCATATTGTTGGAAAAAATATTTCTCATGTCACTCATATAATGATATGTGTGCTTTATTTTTTTTGTTTTTTATTATTTTTTAATGGTAGGATCTACCTTAAACATGTGTGTGTAAAAAAAATTATTTTCTCATGTAAAACGAGAAAAAAAAGCCCTTACTTTACTGCGTTTTATGAAACATATAAAAAAAGCTTAGGAGTTCGAATCTCGTAACCCCCTTGTCTTCCTTTTTCAGTTTCATCTTGAAGCCCTGCATCCCCCAGAACCCGCTCGGTGGTGAGGTCCCTCCTAAACAAAATCAGGATAAGACCATTTTGCATGGGCATATTTGTAACTAAATGCATAACCCCAAAAAAACCATTGGCTTGTCAAACTCTCATATTATTAGCTTTAAACCCATTAAAGATTTCTAGTATTTCCAGTGTTAAAAATGGATGACAAATTAACAATATCCACACGGTTCAACATTTGTAAAGGCACTTTTATTTTTCTTGGCCACTGATAGGTACTCCTTTCTCGGTATTACAGAAGTAATGGAATATTTCACACATACGAGTTAAAAAGTGCCTCTTTTACTTTATTGTTTTACTTGCTGCAGAGCAGAATGTTGCCTGTAAGATTTTTTATTGGTCTAAAAGCATAACAAATGCTACGGAAAGCAAAAGCAGCATAAAAATATTGAGTAAATGCAAAATTCCAATGAGTCAACAACTAGCTCGTCAATGAATTAATACATACAAAAAAATCATTCCCCGTTCAATCCGACTAGCGAATGTGGGATGAAAAAAAAAATCCTTATGCATAATCTTACCCTTGCATAATTGCAAGGAAGCTGTTTACTGGATTCGAATCCATGACCTTTCAATCATGAAAGAACAATTTTACCACTACTCCGGTTCGCTCCCTTCAATCGATTAATAGATACATGTATCATATATTAAAAGCAGCTGCTTTCTTTAATTTTTCTTTTCTTTAAATGTTTGATCATCAACAAAAGTTTTGTATAGAAATAACAGAGAACTATGATCATAGCACTTCCGAAAATATCTTGCAAGCTCCAATGGCTGAAGTCCGTTAATCTGTACTTAACTTTTCAATTTTGCTGCCGACGTCTAAAAGAATGAACATATCGCTTGATGTAGAAAGGAATTATATTGCTAGTGTCTGCAAAGCTCTCAAGGGTGTATGCAATCGAAAAGAGTGAGTATATATAATCTTCAACTGACAGTAGTCGTCAGACATATTGTACAAGTCCCCGGATAAAAGTAATGAAGGATGTGATTGCGATGATCCAATCAAGCCAAGGAGCATACCTTGTCTGAAAATGAGCACCAGTAGTAAGACAAGTTCTATTGAGAACTTGAGTAGGTGAAAAACCAAAAAATGTATTTGAATAAAATGAAGTTTGATGAAAGGTACTTTAATTCTTTTCTCTAGACTTCATTTTGTACAAGTACATTTTCATATTCCACCAATTCAAGTTCAACAAAACATAGCTAAAAAAGCTGGAAAGAAACACACCCCTTCTCCATCTCCACCCCTTTTTCCCCAGTTCAATACCAGAAAATAACCACTGTAGAAAATGAGAACAGGGATTTCACCTTGTCTGATGCTACTGCAGCAAAGGCGACTGTCATCTATATAAGTTGCTTGGATGCCCATCATCCATGAGCCCAATGATGTATCGTCATAGGCATAGGTCTTCAAAGATACACTACATTTTATTTTTTTGAATAAAACAAGAAATAATATTACATGGTATGAAAAATACAAGAGTACAAGGTATCTTCCAAAAGAATCCATAAAGCTCAAGTTAAACAAAAAAAGAAAAACCCCACATAGGAAACCACAAAATAACACAAAGGGAGGGAGGCGAGACAGCAAAGAACTACACTTGAAATAAGCTAATCAAACAGCAATTTGAAGAGGTTAATGACAAAATAAGATTAAAATACTTCTTTCTTAATACTCTTTAACACATTTAATATCACCAAGCCTAACAGCATCAATGTGTTTGAATCCCTCATATCCATCTTCTAAAAGTGGACCAATTTGTACTCAGTAAAAAGGACATACATTTTTTCCCTGCAGGGAACAAGGCAGAATGCCTATCTGTCAGAGCAGTATTTTATCAACCTCATCCTCTCGCCAGCCCCATCAACCTGGAGGCCTCCCCACCCAACTACTGAACTGCACTCAACCTAAAGTATGTGCTTGTTTGAGGATTGAAAATCAGGAACGGAAAAAATAGGAAAAGGAGTGGACAAAGGAATGGAATAGAAAACTTATAATGTTTACTCTATGTTGTTTGGTAAAGGATAAAAATCACTTTGAACCCACTTTTATGCTAAAATTTGTGAAGTGTAAAGGACTTGCACTCCACTTTCAAGTTTCAACGCTCTCATCCTAAGTGTTGAAGTAACTTCATTTCAAATTTTCCACCTACTCATACAAGTAGTCTTAACTCTTAAGCGAGCCAGGTCGTCAAGCAGAGTGGTGAGATATGGAAAGATATGGGACTGGTATTATCTAGATAAACTTTCCATTGCTTTAACAAGAGAATGCTTATTAGAGTTTTGAAAATACAAAATCCAAAACATAACAAAGATGAAAAATGATAAACTAAATTGAGGATTTGGGGTCCTGCAGAAAGTTTGAAAATAAAATTAAGTACTTAATTAATCTTTGCTAATAGCATCTTTTATGGTGTTGTGTAGTATTCTAGGAACGCACAAATAAAAGAAGATAATCAAGTAGCTTTAATTCAAATGCCAGCCATGAACATGACTCAGTACAGTAATCAATTAATATACAAACACTCCTCTTTTTCAAGTTCCTCAAACATAAGGGCATCTAGATGCCATGCCTTGTCAGCCAAAATGCTGAATTAAGGCAGCCATGCCACAGAACTAAAGCTGCCTATCTCAGTTTCAAAGATTCCTCCAAACCAGATCCTCCTTGAGCAGATAAGACATTGAGCACTAACCTGTTTATGTTAATGTACTGTGCCAAATTCTTTGAAAGTATAACAAGTGAACCAGCTGCATGTCGGAAATACCTAAAGACAAAATGATTCAATAGAGATCCGCATTACCAAAAATAAACAATTTAATATGGAGATCCAAAATACTAAAAAGTTGCCAGACGCAGTATTTAGACAAAAAGAAACATCTGTCAAAAAGATGCACATTTATTTTCCATTTGCGAGTTATAACACCATTCCACCAATCTATAAAATAAAAGAACAGTAACACCAAATTATCATAATGGTAAATATTCAGATATAAGTTAAGAGACATTTAGCCAAATCAAAGACTTCTACCTTCTAAAACCTCTATAGCACACCTATGATATCAAATATAAACATTAGCAGAGTAACATGTCATCTACAGATCAACTAAAGTACAAAGAACATATTATTTATCATTGTTTTGAATAATGACTACTTTTACTGTTGTGTTGGATACAATGTTGAAAAAAAACTAACGTAGAAGGGATATTTAGGGGGGAAAAGTTGAACTGTTTCACGTCATATTCATATGAATTGCAGTAAATGTCAAAAAGATTAATAAAAATTATAACTAGGTGGGAGTTTGGTAAGAAGCAATTTAAATCAGGTAGTGATAGTGATAACATTAATGACGGTGCCAAACTGGCCACAAAGGCAATGGTGATGGTACCAGATGAAAGGATGGTCCTAATGGCAAGAGGGCATGATAGTACCAGTCTAGAGGTAAGGATGACTACAGGCTAGTAGCAGTAGCAACAGTGATGATGATTATGGTGGTAAAGACCAGTGAAAGGCACCGGTGGTGATAGTTATAGCATGTGCTGATGCCAAAGTCAGACGTCGTATGTTGTTGCCCTCAAAGTTAGCAAATGGTGGTTGTGGTAAGATACTGATGGTTGCTACTACTACTAGAGGTTCTTGGTGATAGTATTATAGCCACATGCTAATCACATCTTTTATAGTGTATTTGAACAAGTTACCAGAAAATAAAAAGAAACTATAAACCACAAACAGTAGATGTTACAAATAGGAAAAGTCTGTATAGTCCCTCTATTCATTTTTAAGCACAACTTATTGATATCTTGTTGGAATTGACTGCATAAATCTGACAATATTTCTGAGAACAAAACTTGTTTTCCCTTCCTTCTCTCCCATGTTTAAGCAACTAAACTCACAATAAACGATTAAATATATACACTCCACATGTTTTTTGGCATTACATCCAGTTTTTCATATCACTACTAACTAATGACATTGAAAGAAACAACTAAATGAATGGCCATATGATTCCACTAATGGATGCTTATAGACATAGGCAAGAAAGTTATATTTATTTTCAATCATCAAATGCTTATCAGATTATAATTTTCATTATTTATCAAAAGAAGATTGAAACATTTTATGTAGTCATTACAACTTACAAGTCATCAGTTTAAACATTCCAACATTTGATAAAGATAAAAAAGCATATTGAAACGTATTGAATATGCGTAAGTCCAAAATTAATCGTTCCCTCTAATGTTTCATGGTTGTTAGCACTAATACAATATGTTGTGAAGATCACTAATTTACCCATTCAATGATACAGTTAGAAAAATAATGAACTGGTTTCAGTTTAACACAATATATTAAGGCATATTCACAATGAAGATCTTTCCTGCATTAATAAAAATAAATATATCACCAGATCTTCTCCTCCAAAAGGTGTATATATATTACTTACGTTTTTTCATCCCCAAATTTCCACCATTCAGGTTCATACCACGGCTTTCCCCTGAAAAATACCAAAATAAGATGCTTATAAGTTGAATCCAAAACCGCAATTGCAAGATTCAACTAGTAAAAATTTTATAACAAAAAATATAATATTGTAACTTTGATAAAGGAGAAAATAACAAGCAACAAAGAAATATAATGTAGGCAAGCAGAACAGATTAGGAAGATAACAATTTAAAAAGCTCTAACTGAAAGGGAATGCAAATTTGCTTAGCAAAAATAGGACAAGTCTAAAGACTAAGAAGCGATGAAAATTCAGAAAATCTACAACATTCAGGGGTGGGGTAGCTTCAGATAAAAAAACTACAATGATCCAGAACATGAAATGGATAATAACACAAGTTCCATTCAGAAAAATGAACAATTTCAGACAGCTTGAAGCATAACCAGAACCATCTACACCACACAAAGCAGCCAATATATCCACAGATCTACTAACATAGATATAGATTCACAATTAACTCAGATAAAAGAAATTACTCTTCTGTTATCACTTGTCCTGACTTCATGCATCCAACATATGCCCCGTCCTGACCACGGCGACGGTCAAGAAGGTCAATTAAACCCTCTGTTAGGTCAGTAAACAGAATAAAGAATGTCTCAATAATTTTACAAGGGAAAATATATAGCTATTTCAACAAAATCTCCTAAATGAGGGCATTAAATATATAAACAATCTTTACCCAGATCAATGTCAATATTGTCATCAACTTTCACGTAAAAGTCAGCATCCCAGTTCTGAACTGCAGTACTAAAGAAGATTTTTGCTTTTTTAGGCAACTCTTCTTGAGCTTCCTCATGACCTTCCTAATATAATAAAAACAAAAGCCAAGCTCTATATTTAGCTTGTTTAACAAGTTTCCATGACAAGGAAACATGCTCAAATAAGCTCCAATATATTTCATATAGAAAAGCATCAATAAACACAATGGTTAATTATTGTGCTACCCCCAATCCCCCCCCACCCCCCCAAAAAAAAAAAGTTTTTGCCCCAAAAATACAATTTTTACTCTGCACATCAATACTTTGAGTCACACCAAGATTCAAAATATTCAAGAAAACACCTGAACTTTAAATGTGAGCAAACATTATCAGCTTGCAAATACATGTAATTAAATATCCCTCAATGACCTACCCATTAGGCATCTATAATAAAGCCAAATTCAAAATATAATTCAGTGCTTCCTGTCCACTCACATCATCCATGGTAAAAGATTGAACTAATTTAAATTACAGCAAAACTGCAACTATTTTGCTTACAAGAATCAGGAAATCCTTTGTTGAGCGGTTTTCCTCATCAATATTGCGATCTAAGCTATCACCTCGATTAGCACTGCCAATTAAAAATTATTAGGTCATAAAATAAGTTTGAACCACTAAAAGTGATGACATTGACTACAGGAGTATTGCCAAGGGAATTAAAGCAGATAAATAATCATTAATGGTTATGAAATCATTTGAGAATAATTTAATAGCGAGAAAGGATAAGTGTGTGGAGAAACCTCCGACCAATTACAAAACGTATGACCACTCCTCTTTCTTCAAGTTTTTTCAAGGCATCACCTGCCAAAAAAAGAGAAGAGAAAATATCAGTGATATAGAACTGAACCAAAAAGATAACCATCCACTTGATATTCAAAGTATAGATCAAAAACCAATCTTCAAAAAAACTTTAAAGAACAAGTAAATTAAAAACGAAAAAGCAAGCAATGCCCAAATCAATCCAAAAATCAAACTGAAAGGCATAAAATCACTCCCAAATTCAAATTGAAAAAAAAAAATCGTGCTTTATAAACTAGTTATTAAGATCACTATCTTCTATAAAAACAAACCAAGAAAACATTCAAAGTCCGCGTATCATCTAATGAATTTGATCTCAATAAAGACAAGACCAAAAAGCCTTGGGCCTTAGCTCAATTGGCACCAAGACCCATGGCCAGAATCAATTCCCACCGAGGCCACTTTGCCTCAACTTTAGCTTACCCTCCATCTCACCAGACCAAGTCTTAGACCTCTTCATTTATACCAAAAATAAATAAATAAATAAAAAGTTGACGCCAGCATAAAGAAATAGGAACTAGTGAATTATAACCAAAATCCAAACAGACCTCTGGGCATCCAAGACCCTCTAAAAACATTTCTTTTCAATCGGCTTCCAAATCCAGTATGTACTCCAATAACAGCAAGAAGCCTACGGTCAGAAGAAGAGCCACTTTGCTGCAACTGGCCTTTGAGGTACCCTTGGCTCTTGGCTAATGTCAATTCCATCTCAGCTTCCACAATCCTCCTCTCCAGATCCCTAAAATAACAAAATATTCATGAATTCGATACAAAACAATATCTCACAAACAAACAAATAGAACAACACAAATCAACCCAATATATATATACACACAAAAACAATATAAAAGAACAAAAATGGGAAGAACTTACCTGCACCCTAGAACCATTAGCTTATCTTCCACCGTAAGAACCTTGGGCCTCTAGGAACAAAAAAAAAAAAAAGGCAATAGTATAAGTTCATATACTATAGCTGAATTTCAGAAGTAGCAAACAGATAAAATCGGCATGTACTACTTTCATTCATAAATCATAAATCATAAATCATAAATCATAAATATTCTACCGTGTAGCAACAAATCAGAAAGGATCTCGAATTAAAAAAAAAAAACCTGAGCTGAATTCTTCTTCAGAAGACTAGCAAGTAAATTTCGGTTCTCTGCATCTTGCCATAACCTAACCACTCCCAAAACAAAACCAAACAAAACAAAGGACCAAATCCGTTAATGTTTCCGATCAGCAGTTCAAAACGAATAGCAGAAATAAAGAAGAATTGGATCCAAATGCAATTTGCAGAAACAATTTAAAAAGTGAAAATGGAAATGAAAAATGAGGAGAGAGAGAAACCTGCCAGCGACGTAAAGCCAAGCAACGCAAGAGAAGAAGGCCATGATGAGGGAAGGCTTCGAGGTCTGAACGCCCTTCGATCTCCCTCCTCGCTTCATCGTCGACGTCGTTGGCAATGTCTCCATCTCCAACACTCACACACACGATTTCGCGCTTTGAAATTCCCAATTCCAATCGATGCAAAATCGCAAACTAATCACTGCTAACGTACAAGGGTTTTTTGTTTACGAGTTTTTATTGTTTTGTTTTAGTCTGTTTACTTTGTGTTTACTTCAACCAACACTGGAAATTTGAAGATTTTCTCTCCTCTCTCTCTCTCTCTCTCTCTCATTTAAAAACAATTTTTGCTTTAATAGAAAAATTAAAAAAGATATTTTTTTAATACAAATTAAAAAAGATATTTTTTTCTCAATTGCTGCTTCTCTAGAGAACGAGGCTACCTTATCAAATAAATTTGTTCCAATTGTATATGCTTCATTTCATTTAAACAAAATTAAATGGGGAATTTGTTGGGTAGTTTTAACGATAACAAATAAGTAAAGCCAATTTATCTAACATGTTGTTTAGTTTTTGAAAATTTATTGCAGAATTTAATTTGTGATGGGTTCTGAAGGAATAATGCAACATAATTGTCATGAAAGAAACGTGAATATTGAAGTTGCAAGATAAAAAAAAAATCTTAGATTTCATGTAATGAATCTTGGATTATATTAAATGTGGAAATTGAGGAACTAAAATAGAAAAAAATTATTTTAATATAAATAGATTTTTGAGATTTAGTTTTTAATTTGGGAAGTCGTTGTGAATGTAAAAAAATTTCTTTAAAAGAGCTAGTCCTTCCGTGACTAGATGTGACTGAAACAAAATTACCTTCATGAAATATACATGCGATTTATTAAAAAATATAAAAAAGGAAGAATGAGCCTAACTTTTCATAAGAGGGAGTGTTATCAAACTCGAACTCGTAATCAACTCGATCAAGGTATTGCGTCAATAGGTCACCAGTTCATGTTAGAGAAATATAAAATTATTAATGTAGTCTCACTCAACAGCTTAAGCTTTTGAGTTAAATTGATTCTTTACATGATATCAGAGCCTCCGTGACTAAGTGATCACAAGTTCGATCTTCACCGCCCCAAATTAGTTAATAAATAATTAGGTATTATGAAGTTTCTTAACATAGGTAAGTGGGTCGTGTACGAGCTCTAGTGTGAAAGGGCATGTTAGAGACATATAAAACTATTAATATAGCCTTATCTAAGAGTTTAAATTTTTGGGTTGAATTGATTTTTTACAATTCAGTGAGTCATTGGTTCAACCGTATGAATTAAATATATATAATAAAATCCAATAAATATAAAATTAGAAGCCTTTTAGCTAATAATTAGAGTTAGATTAGTAATAAGTGCTATAAGTTATAATTTATACAGTTTACCTTTGAATATCTGTAGTAGTATTTTTCAAGCATTTTATCAAAAATTTCACAAACCCAATTTAAAAAAAAAAAAAAATCAAAAATAGTTTAATACTAATTGAACCCAGTTCAGGATTAATTCATCCATTTCATACCGGGTCAAATCCATAATTACTTCAATACCTAAATCGAACAAAGTAAGAGTTCAATTTAGGGATCAACCGATAGAACCGGCAAGGTCCGATCAATTTTTATAATGGGTCTCTTTCGGACTTCTGCACTACAAAGGCAAGAGTATATTTGGTAAAAAAAAAAAAAATTGATTTTGAAATAACTAGATTAAATAAATTAATTCAAATACACAGTAATTTTTTTCTTGGTTTTTACGACAAATAATTCTGCTTATTAGGATATTAAAGTGAACTCCACGTAATTAATTTCCACGTGCAATTTAGAGGTTATAAAAGGTTGCCAAAAAAATCCGTAGGTATAAAAGATTCTGTTTGATACAGATTGGAGAAAGTTTTTAATTCAATGGAGTGAATGGGCTTCTTTTCGTTTTAATTATTTTTTTAAAAGGAAATATTGTTTTAAAATTTATCTGTATATATAAATGTATATAACTTGGTATATGTTCTTCTTTTATATACAAAGTTATTTTTCCTGGCAATAATAATATCTAAAGTAATTTTTACGAAATAGAAGAAGATATATGAAGTTATAAATTTTTATCAATTGAGTTTTTTAAAGAGAATTTTATTAATTTAGTTTTTAAAACTTAAAATTCTTTAAAAAAATTCATTTCTTCGTTTATTTGAGTTTGATTATATTATTCAAATAATCGTGTAAAAATATTATTATTCTATCAAAATATATCTCAAAGAGATATATGAATATTTGAAAATAAAATATTATATGCATACGAACTCTAAGTGATATGTAAAGTTGACAAAATAAAATCGCTTTATTTAATTTATTGAAATTGTTTTGGTGAACATTTATCGAATTAAATATGACACATACTATTTACAAAAAAAAAAAAAATATATATGACACATACTTACAAAAAAAAAATATGACACATAATGTTCTGACATTATTAAAAATATTTTAAAGTTAATAATGTTAAACTTAAATCAATGAAAAGATAAAAATTAATAATTACCAATTTAAAGAACAAAATTAAGAATTTATTTATGAGAAATCAAATCAATAAATTAGTGATATATCTTCAATGACTAAAAAAAAAGAAGGTTTTGCTCTTATATTTTACCATATTTGTAATTAACATTGAATTTTTTTCATGGTAAATTTTTTTTATATCATAAAAAAGAAGAAGTTAAAGGGTTAATATCTATGAGTACTTGCAACGTCGAAGTCGAACCAATGCTTTGCATCAACTGAGAGTCATCTTGGACCTAAAAATTCTGATATATCTCTGAAGGGTTGGTACTAAGCCTTTTAAGAGTGCTCATACATTCACACTTTGGTAGTTTGGTTGGCTGGGGCTGGAACAGTGACAGCCTGACAGGTATATAATTTTATCCATGAATATTTGTGGGTATATAAAAATTTTAAAATAGGATTTGAAACATAAAATATAAATAATATAATTTTAATCTTTGACATCATGTACTATAGCTTTATTTAATAATTTTAAAATTTTTATAAAATTAAAAAATGTCCCATATAACATAAATTTTCATAAATAATTATTATATGAATAGCACATATTTTCTTAATATATTTTTTTTATCATTGTGAGTTCATTTATTGAAAAACTCATTGTAAAAAATAAAAACTTAAATTTTTATCTCATCTCATAATAAATGAAATTTTTTTATGATATGCCTATATTAAAAAAATATTTTATTTGTTTGCTTCCATTTATAAAATAAGTACCTATCCTCCCCTCATATCTCTCTACAAATTCAGAAATTTTTGTCGTACCTACATTCCATTAGCAAACACTTATAGGTCATCTACCCAAAAAAATAAAGGCAAACGCTTATAGGTCGTCTTCTTCAATAATTGCATCTTTTATTTCTTTATTTTTTTTATTTTCTAATTTTATTCAAATAAAATATTTGAAGAAAATGCATACCATCCTTCGCGTAGGCATCTACATGGTCCCAACAGAACAGCCTAATATTAGGCTAACCATTAAAAAAAGTTGAAGGTGCTGATGATAAATCAAATACGAGCAGCCCTGCCGTATCCAAGGCCCTAGGGGGTTGGCACGCGTATTATTAATCACTTGTGAAATTAAAATTCTCACTTATTTATATAATTAATGGGGATAAAGTTTCTAAAATTATTTTAGAAAAATTTGTATAAAAATTCAATAAAATGATGTAATATTAAAAAATTAGAATGATAAAGACTATTATAATTCTAAAATGAATTAAAATTATAAATACACTATGATTTCCGTCCCAAAATGATGTCATTTCGTTGAATATTAGATAAATTTTTCTAAAGTAATTTTAAAAAAAATGAATCCATAACTAATTGTAAATTTATTAATTATACTTAATTAATTTAACCATTTATTAAAAATGATATATTTATTTATTTGAGTTAGCTTTATTTTATGTCATTTCCTTTGAGATTATTGAAACTCCATCACGATTATTATTATTGTTATTTTGTGGTTGACCTAATCAACTAATAAAGGTTATGATTTTCATCAATATTATTAAATCCGATCCGATTATCGAGTTAGTTTGAATCAATAAATCAGTGATTGTACCTATTGACTGAATAAATATATATAAATCTATAATTTATTTTCAAATACATGTAGTAAATATATATATCAATAGCAAATATCCCAATATGAAAAACTAAAAAATCACACATTTTTTTGGTAAAAAAAAATCACATATTATTATCAATGTTACAAGTAGAAAGTCTATAAAAAGAAAAACGTGTTGATCCTCCAAGTAAAATTCGTTTAATGTCAATTTAGGCCACCTCCAATTTTAACAAAAAGGCTAATAGTTTTAGCAAAATATGTCCAACATATAACATCAACCAAAAAGGCTAATATTAATGAATACATACTTGCAAGTCACAGAGATGGACAAGTCAAGATGATTAAATATAGTCAGTATTGATTCTTTGCATCTATAATAGTTTAGTTCCCCGTTTTACCTTGCATCTATAATAGTCATTAAATATAATCAAGTTAGAGTGACAATTTCTCAATACATACTGTTTTCTTAATGACTATTATATTAATACACTTGCATCTATTATATTGATTCCTTGCAAGTGTATTTTATTTTATTTACCAACACTGGTCACTTGATTAGATATAATGAATTGTTTGAGCAAGTGCAGTTTTTTGGTCAACTACAATGGCCTATATTGGGCCGATACCGATACGGAACATGAGATATGATATGACATGATACTCTGACACGTTACTTCTAAAAAATACTAGATTTCGACACGTTATGACACGTTTAGATATTAAATAATATTTTTAATTTATGTAATTATATTATATTTAATATTCGATAATTTAACAAAAAAATAAAGCTAATCTTATAATACCCATCAATTTTACATTAAACTCAATAAAATGGTAATCATAATTCAATGAATTTAATAGTTGAACTAAAAACGCAACGCAACGCAAACTTCGAATCCTTTTTTGAGTCTTTGCACACGTGTTGGAGTGTCGGAGTATCGGAGAGTGTCAGACACGATATATAAGATTTTTTAAAGTATCGATACTTCACAGACAATGACTATCTATTCAATAAATAAATATAGGGTCTGTTTTTTCTAAAGTTACTTTAAATAACTTTATCTAATGTTCATCGAAACGACGTTGTTTTAGGGCGAAAATCATGATGTTTTTTGTAATTTTAATTTATTTCAGGATTATAATAGTCTTTATCATTATAATTTTTTAATTTTTCAACCTCAAAACGACATCGTTTCGATGAACATCAGACAAAGTTATCTAAAGTAACATTAGATACATTTTTCCTATAAATATAATATAATGGTTTGCATTTTGCAGATATATTAAATTTACGTAAGAATCAAATTTCATCACATGAAACTCATCACTTATGATCACATTTTGGTGATGTTAGAAACGAATGGGTTGCAGCCGTGCAGGAACGGTGATGTTGATGAATCCTTTCCTTCCCCCACAGATAGCTGAAGGGGTTGGCGATGTATCTTATTAGAAATTTGGGTAAAGCGACTTCGGGATTTTGGTTGCTGGAGTAGGTGTAAAAAACGACAGAGTTTCACACTTTTAACCCACGGGGTTAAAGAAACCCGAACCGGTTTTGATAAAAACTGACTGACTCCTCACCAGATGATATATGTCCGGTTCAATGACTCACTCGAATCGATAATGTTATTGGTTCACCGAATTTTGGATTGATCAGGGTTTTATAACACCTGTTTTCAGCCATTAAGCTTATAATTTAATTGTTACTAGTTCAAGTATTTAAAAATTTAAGTGTGATTATTGTATTAAAAGTTATAACATGCTGCCAACTCATTTTTCTCATTTCTCATTTAAGAACTTAAATAATTCCTTTTTTTTCTTTAAAAAAAAACGTATTGTTAGTGCAATATACGCCCACACACCCCTAAGCCTGTCTGTTATCTTTCTTTGTTTTTCTTAAGTTCTCTCTTTTTTTATTATCATTACTATAACAATGTGCCATTTTATTATTTATTTATTTTATGCCATTTATCCCACTTCTAGTATATTTTGGTATTTTTAAGAAACAAAATAAGTGTATATAAAATATGAGATTAATATTTTTTATGTTGTAGGAAATAAAATTATCTCCTACATACACATAAAATCGTGTAAAACCTATATTTTATTTTTCTCTCTCTTTTCTTCATATGGATCTCACACACTTTTACGTATGTATATGTAAGAGAAAATTATATTGAAACAAACATTAATCCCTTTTATTGCTTCGGTTTTACACACATTAATGTTTTAGAATGGGAAAATGTTTATTATACATCATCCTTTATCCTATTTCCTATATCTATATATGTAATAAAACAGACTTTAGGTATGAAAGAATGAAGTGGGTCAACGTATAATTAAATGATAAAAAAATATACAAATATAATATGATGTATCTTTATATACTTTTATGCTTAATTAATGCATGCCTTTTACCATTGATCATCTCATATTGTGATTTCTGGACAATTGTACTTGAGTTTTTTTTCATGCACTATTTGCTTATTCAAGGCCTTTTTAATGAAATTCTCAACTTCCATTTAAGACCATATTTACGTATGTAGTCACAAATTATATAACAATGACTCATTACATCTATGGCTAACAGCTCATCCTGCACATGATTACAACAAAGGCCTCACTCTAGAATCATATACACAGAACAAATACAGCATGGAAAGTACACCTTTTTGTTGCTTTCCTTGAAACTGACAAAAACTGGGATTAAGGCATTGGTTTCCAACATATTGACTCATGGTATAACACTCAATCAGAGTAGAAGACAGATGCCCCACCAAATAAAGAATGAGTGTTGGCCAAATTAATCTAAAAAACAATATGCTACAATCCCATTTTCTTCGTCATCCGATCTGAAACATTAGCTATCACAAAGCCTGCAAATACCTGCAGCACAATGCCAAAACAATTCCATTAATATGTGAACAAAAATATTGAATGTTTTGATAATTGTGACCCCCAAATATGAGCTAAAAGCCAGTCCTTTATGATCTAGACTAGACAAAATTTCCTAGGCCATGTAACTTTGGCATGTAGTAAATCATAACTAGATGACAGAGGAATTAGCATGCATAAGGTCAAAGGAAGAGATAATGGATAAATTTGTACCCATAAACTTGCATAAATACAAATACTCTATTCATTTCAAAAATATTAGTTATTTAAGGTTTTTCATAACGACAAAGAAAGTCATTAACTACCCTTAACTTTAGAAAAATATAACTACATGTGACTAAATCACACTTTTATTCCATTAATATTAAGAGACAAGGATATAATTGAAAAGAAGAAAAAAAAATTAATGCCTTCTTGATTTTCTAGAGTGAGAATAAAATGAAACAAAATTTCTTCTCTAAAACAACTAATATTTTGAAACAAAGAAGTATAAATTATCTAAACAGCCATTGAAACAACAGCCTAACACCAAGAGACCAATAGGATCTTTTATTTTTCTTATTTTAACTTTTTTGTTAGGGGAAAAAATGAAACTAGTATCCTCCCACTGGCCACTGGTACCATCTTAGAGCTGAGAAAACATCAAGTTCCAGACACCTTTAGCGACAACAATACCTGAATTGAGCCAAGAATGTATAATGCTGAATAATGGCGACCATGAATCACCATGTCAGCCAACATAGCAAGAGGAATGGTGAGTGACATGCCCAAAGTGGCCACAAGGGGAGTTGTCCATACAACACAGAGTGCCCTGAGTAGATCAAATAAACTCTAATGTAAGAGTTTGCATAACTGTTTGTGTATATTAATCATATTTATTTTATGTACCAGAAGTAGTCTGAGAGAACGCTTCCAACAAATCCATTAGCAAGAACCACTTCGTCTAGTTTAGCAGAGTGGGGAATTGTAAACTTCGGTTCAATTCCTAAGGCCGTCAATGGCCAGACTGAGATAAGCATAAAAGAGAATTAGCAATCATAACCTCATAAGTTGACATTCATAAGTAACTAAAGAAACATTGCTGGTAAAAACTTACTAAGCCACCATAATGTTACAAGTGTAAACAATCCAATATAGCCAAACAGCTTTTGCACATCGACCCGTTCTCCTTCTTCACCAGAAAACTTTTTAAGAAGAACTGCAGCATGAAGGTATCATTATTCATCTATATTATCTGACAAATAAAGAAAAATAACAGTTAAGAAAATGCCTAACCTGTAAATAGACCATATGACAAGGCTGAGAGAAGGCCAAAAAGATCTCCAACAAGAGAGCGCTGTCCATTGCTGAACACAAATATCAACTGTCAACGCCCAAAAAATTGTATTACAAAGAGCAAGCATGTGATGATACATTAAAGACAACAACTTGACTCCTTAATGTTCTGCCCCATGGCTAAAGTGACCAGCTCAGTTTTGCACAGCTTTCTCTGATCCCCTCTATCTCTATCAATATAATGGATGACACTTACATAGTTACATTGATATATACATATGAGTATACATAGATTCTCAAAAAGTGGGACCAATTATGTTCAGATATAAAGACATTCATGAACCTCCACCTAACATCCTAAGCCTTTTTTTTTCCTTTCAGTAATTTGGTCCCTACATTAAAAAAAGGTGTTAGGGAAGACATGGATCAATGCCATGGGTGAGCCCAGCCCACTCCAGGATCCCAACTCCCTTTGGGCTGGGAGTGAAATGGTATTGCTCTCCCCCACAGGGTTTACCCAGGGATCAAATACATGTCATCTTCTTGAGAGACACAACTCGCTTCCACCATGCCAGGTTAACATCTTAGATTCTTAAGCTTTTAGCAGAATTAGTCCTTGACATGGTATTAAAGCATCTACATGACTACATCTATAACATAATGAAGTTGATTTTTAAACAAGGTTCAAGCCCAATGGACTCTTGTGTGAGGGTTCATATTATTATGTTCTTTCTTATGTTTTATGCTTTTATTTGTAGTGGGCTTAGCAATATATAATTAACTCAACATAAATAGCCCTTAGGATTTTATGTTCATCCATCATATGATAAATTTTCATATTTGAAGTGTTTCTAACCTGAAAACAATAATTCTTTTATTCCTACTTTTTCTCTGCATCAAATCGGCATTACAGCTTAGTCTATCAAATTACCGAGAGTGTGGATGAATTGCACTAGACACTCAATGGGGGTGACACAATCCAGAGGTTAAGCGTACTCTGGCAACTTTACGTAAGGCAGAGTTTGGTTTTTTGGGGGTGATAGTGGAAAAGTTGACAGATAAGTCACCCTAATCCCGAAATTGACGGGTCAGTGTGAGCTTATCCATGCGGTTATGCACCCTTCGAATAGAGGAATCCATTTATTTTCTGAAATATCCCGAGTGTGAAGTCCCATACTATCTAGATGTGAGACAAGGAACACCCTTTATAGCAGAGGCTCTCCCCTCTTAACAACCTGGCTTTATACCCCTTCTTCACTAATGCCCCGAAGAAAACTATGAAAACTTGATCAATATTCAACAATTATTTCTTTAAACTCTTTTTTTTAAAAGAATATAAACTGCAATGGGTGATGCCAATATAGCTTTGAATTGGTATCCAAGGTCAACATAGTCAACATAAAGATAGCAATTTTATGTAATTTGGAACCAAATAAACAAGACACTATCAGATGACGTTTTTGTTTCCATCCTGTCATTAAATGATAGACACGAGCAATTTGGATGGTGGAGCCAAAATTTTATAAAGAATATTGCTTGTTTGTTAACCAGCTTAGAGAGTATTGGATAAAAAAGGACTAACTCCTACCAAATTATGCACTAATATGATTGACCTCTATTTAATCAGTTAAAACTGGAAAAGATAATGAATGTGATTTGGTCATCAAAAGAGATAATAAGGGCTTACGAAGCACTTAATTGAGACTCATCTGTAGCCCATGTTTTCCCCAGAGTTGTCATGGCAACCCCAGCCATGCTGACCAAGACAGCAACTACTTTTGCTACACTTAAAGAGTCTTGGCCCATAAACACACCGATGAAAAGAGTGAAGAGTCCTGAAGTAGATGATAATACTGTTGTACTCGCAACACTTGTACGTGCTAGGGCAGCATTTGATAGATACTGAAAGCAACAAAAAATAATTAATAACACTGCTGCACTTCCTATATGTTGTCATAGAACAGATTAAACATCAAAGCTGTATATGTACGATTGGAAAAACAGAGAAGTCAACTTTAGGTGATTTCACATTTGTCTATCCAGTGACATAATCAGTCCAGACAGAAGTGGAACAAAATTACTTCACAGGACTTAGAACTCATCAAAAGCATGCAGGGGTTAGACATGCTAGACTTTTTCAGGGTGTTTAAGTGTCCATGTCTGTGTATTGCTCTGCAATTATAAGTTGTTGAATAGCTGTTATATAACATATCTCAACCACAATGAATGAACTATTTCGAAGAGAGTGTACGAGTGACGTTGTGCCTCTGCATGTGTGTTTTGCATTACAAGTAGAAGTTAAAAACATGCCTATAAAATGCAACTGCAACCATAATAAATGACATGTTTAACAAACTGAAGAAAAATTACTACTCAAAACAGCTAACAACAATCAATTGTGTAAGAAATCAGCTACCACAACAGTCATTATGGTAAGTGACGTGTATCCATGAGTTTAACTGATATGACCTTGATAATGTTTCACATCTTGTCAATTCAAGGCTTCTTTTTAATGTGAAGATAATCAAATATGCTGGAACTACGAAATTTCAAGAGGTATAGATGTTTTATAAGAATATAAACACATCAATTTAGCCAATGGATAAATGTGTAGAATATCAGGAGTCCTTTGTCTTATAAAAAAAAAGAGATACTTTTTTTTTTTTTTTGGTTAAAAGAAACAACTAGAGGGTAAGCCATGGCAAAACGGTGCTTTGTGACCTGGTGGTCACAGGTTCTTGTTACAGAAACAGGTTCCCAGCTCACGGAATAAGTATACCTGCATCTGAACCTCCCTAGATCCCACAATAGTGGGAGGCTCGTGCACCAGTTAAAAGAAATAACCACATAATTCAGTTGTACTGACTCCTGCCTGATTACAAAATGGAGATATCAATCTGAAGTTACTTACCTCTGTTATAAACCAAATAGGAGCAACGTAAAATCCATAAGTAGCAACTTCCTTTGGAGTAAGTTCTTCCTCTACCTTTAGCACATTAATATCATTATATTTAGCCACCAATGGCTTTACTTCTGAAAGATTTGATAAGTCTAAATCACTATCTTTTCGAAGCAGATTCCCCAGCTCCACTTCAACATTTTTCTGTACTCCATTGCCTTTGAGAGGAGAGCTACTCCTGACAGAAAACTCTTCCCTGATTTCTGAATTTTTTCCACCTTTAGAAGAGCGGCGTTTAAGTAAGTTACAGAACCAGTCCTTAATGAATGCTATTGGGAGGTAAACTACCATAAGAGAAGCTCCAAGATATGTCACTGCAAATGGCTGCTTATAATCTGTAAAAATATCCTGTACAGAAAGATTTAATTCAGAGAAGCTTTCATAGATATAAAGCTTGGATACTGGCACACAGCATGTAACTGCCTCCAATAAAAAGATACCCTTTGACCTGAACAAACTTCAACGACATTTCAACAAACTACTCTGTGACCATGTGTGGATAAGGATTCAGGAAATAAAATTCTTCTAGAAAATTGAAGTGAACGCGCATTGACTTACAAATATAAATCTTCAAGCATGTCCTCTAGTGGACATATGTAACAGATAACAACAAAAAATATAGCTGGAATAGTGGATCCTCTCAATGACACATAATAATACATGTATGCAATTCAAGTTCAATCAAAGCCAAGACCAAGAGGACTGCATGGTTTTGGGTTAGCTAAACGTACAAATCATTCTAGCCAACGGAACTTTTGACCTCATAAATAGGTTTTTATGATTGAAATATGAAGTTTCAAATGGTGTATCTATACAAAGGTTGATTCTTAGGATTTAGGAAGCTTCAAAATCAAGTCACATTAAGGCAAAACATCAACCTGCATCCATCTCTCAGATACAACAGCATCCTAATTTGATTCTTGTGTGATTTAACAAACGGTCCTATATATGCCAGGACATAAGCCCCACAATCATTTAATCAAATTAACAGGTACTAAAAATGCGCAAGGGAAAAAAAAAACAAATAATAATAATTCCCAGCCCATTTACCAAATGCATTACATGCCAAACTCAAAAAGAAAATCTAATTTACATGGCTAAACACAGTTGAAAGAGGGTAAATTTTAGACGCATAGAATTGGTGAAAGTTTACCTGGGTGACTTCAGCGGAGGTGACCCATATTATAACCACAGTACCTATGAGGAACAATCCAGCCTTGTATCTCCAACCCATTACAAAAACAAACTATACCCAGATGGACAAAACTGCAGGAATTGCAGAGATCCACAAGTTTCTGCTTCTGACAGATCCCAAAAATCACCCTTCAATACACAAATTTTGTCAACCACATCAGAAAAAAAAAGCTTCAATCTTGCGTGCAAATTGGACGAGAGAAACAGAGAACAGCAAGCTACTATGTGTGAGAAAATTTTGCAGAGAAAGATGAAGGTAGGAGGATCCTTGCAACAACAGAAAAAGCAAGAGAAAATGGGTGGAAAGCGAAACACAGGGAAAGAGTTAAAATTAAGTTTAGGTTCCTGTAATTAGTTAATTGTCTCAACCATGTCAACGTTGTTAGTCTTTCACAAAGTACTATATTAATGCATTTCCTTTTCTTTCCCTATTTCCCATTATTGTGTAGTAAAATTCTCCCTTTCCAATCCTATGAATTGCATTTTCATGTTTTAAATCTGTGTGACAAATTTTTGGACATGTGTCTTCCATTTCAAACCATAAAATTTTGGAGCGATCCCATTTTCTATAAACAGAAAAAACTAGTCTATATAATACAAATTAATTATTGATTAGTCAAAGAAACACAAAAAATAATACCACCTTTCTACAAGGATTAATTTCTTAATGTTCAAATTCCTATTTTTGTCTATAGCTAGAGTTGCCCATTTGGAAAGGGGTTTTACAGTTAGGTGGTGTTTGGTTGGGAGCTTTTCAGTGGATATCTATCCTTATCAAGTATGGCTTTTAGAAATACCATGTTTGTTTCAACGTTTTTAACCAAAAACCCATCTATCCAATTTGTCTGGATTTATGAGAAACATAGATATCCGCACTGTTTAGAAACCCAATTTGAAGGTGGGATTTTTCGGAAAACTGGTTATCTGACTTTTAATGCACTGTTGATTTCATAAAGTTACTTAATTTTTCCAGTAAAGTTTTTCCCCACCAAACAACTTTTTTTTACATTTTTCTACCTATCTCACTTTATCTATCTTTCCAATTATTTCTCTATCTATCTCATTTCCCTACTATTCCAAAAAAATTTAACAATATTCGTTGTGGAGTGATGGTACATTTTGTCACCATTTTATTTTGATTTTTTTTTTCCCTATTTTTGTCCAATGTGATAGAAATATATTCCCTTAACTTGTGGAAACTTATAAGCTTATTTTATTCCGTTTTATTTCTTTTATATTACATAAGAGAAATTTTATTTTCTACTATCATTTCAATTTTTGTATTCTATTTTTTTTAAAAAAAAGTTAAAAAAATAAAGTGGGTTTCATTATTTATTGTGAGAGTAGAACAGAAGATTTATCTTATATGACATAAAAAAAATAAAACCTATTTTATTATTGGAAAATGTTGTGAATAAAGTGGAGATACCAAAAGAAAAGATATATAGTGAAATTCTCCTGAATGATTGTGTTAGTTAATGGGTCACTGCGGTATTGACAAATCAACCATAAATTAATGAATAACAAAATTGGAACTTTGAAATAAATTGGCAATGGCAGGTAAGATGACATTATATTATATCGTCATATGAAAGTTAAGGCAGTAATGACTTATGATAGAGACAACCAATTATTTGTTTATTTTGAAAAAGAATATTCGGATGGACATTACAAGTGCTATTTTTTCTTAGAAAGAGAATTTTAGTATTTTACTACTTACTCTGCCCGGCAACTAGTAAATTTAAAATTTTCATTTTTAATTATTTTTTACTCGTGCTTTGTTCTTATACAAGTAAGGGCTTTAGAAATATCCTGATAGAAGATTTATACATGCTTCATACAAGAACACGTTATATGTTCATGTCTATAGTAAAATATATGTCATTATGGACAATTTTAAATTATAAGCGTCAATTAAGTTTTATTTAAATGAATTTTAATTTATGACCAAAAATATATGTTTGAAATTAAATTACACCTTTAATTCCTTAATAACAAGAAATGACATCATTTCATCTTTCTCTTTCAATTTCATGCTGTGTACAAATTGATAATATAGATGTCACGTTTTATTATTAAAGACTGACTAACTTAATATAACTTATTTTTCAAATAATTATAGTGATATCAATATAATTTCTTATGAACTAAAATAAATGTTTACTCTAAAGCAGTGTTTAAAAATCCGGTCCGGCCATCGACCCGGCGAGATCTGGGGTCACGAGTTCAACCGGAGGTCACGGGGTCACTACGCTGACCCGATTTTATATATTAAAAAGATATAAATATATATATATCCTATATGAAAATATTAAAAAACAAATCAACAATCATCAGAGATTTAAAATATACTTTATATAATTCACCAATTACAACAACAAGTCAATATTACATAACCTAATTAAAGTATCAAGATACCAAAGTACAAAACTCATATTATAATGATACCAAAGTATTAAGATACCACAAGTCTTGGTCGCTGGAAGAGAAGAGAAAAATTAGATTTAGGTTTGCAAATATTTTTATTTTATTTTTTAATAAAACAAAGTTATTTCATGAAATTTTCTTTTTAAAAAAAAAGCAGTGACCCCCTTTGACCCCTCTGACCCGGAAGTCACTGAAATCCGGCTAGATTTTGGGGGTCAGAAGTGTCGATGTGCATATAAGATCTAACTTGTGACCTCAACTCTCAGAAAGGAAGAGTCAGGGTTGACTCAAGTCAACCCAAAGAATAAAGTGAAGTTTTAAAACATTGCTCTAAAGTATATATACAATCAAAAAGTTAAAATGTGAGCTAAACCTACTTTTAAAATATATCAGGCCCAATTATAAACATTCAAACGCATCCCAATTAACTGGAAATTATCGGAACAGATGATGACGTGAAAAATCCTTTTGTTGGTGTAGTACCAATGTACCATAGTAATAACTAATTAATAAATATTAAGTGGCGTTTTTCTTTCGCTATCAAGTTCCAACCCCAAATTAAAAGAATATGGTTAAAACTTAAAATATCATAATCAAACTGATATAAAATATCTTCTTTCGGTTAATTCCAATTGATATTCAAATACATATCAAATTTATTACATAATATTAAATCTCATCAGGAAAAAATATTTTAAATTAAAATCGACTTTCAATATATACGAAATAAAAAAACCACTCACGTTAAATCATTAAAAACGAATTAGGGAAAATTATATAATCTGATATATATATATATATATATATATATATATATATATATATATATATATGTGACTTATCTAGTCTCATATTGCATGATAGAAGAAATTTTATGTCATCAACACATAGTGACGAGATCCACCACCTAAAAAATAAAAAGAAAAAAAAAAGAAAATAATGCACGGTTATCGAAGGATATGTAAAAAGGAAAATTTATCTCATTTAATATGAGAATAGTTTTTTTTTCCATGGTAGTTAAAATCTCGATTTATCATTGCGATTGTACGTTTTTACGATTTTTTTCATCAAAACAATTTTACCAATATTTCAAACGTTTTTATGTTTTTACAATTTTATATGATTTTTTTTACGTTACGATTTTATGTTTTACGACTTTTTATTCCTCTTCTGCTTTTACGTAAAATCTTAATTTTAATTATCTTAGTTTTTTCATATATATATATATATATATATATATATATATATATCACCGTTTTTGTTACACGAATATCTGTAATTATTCCCCCACCAACATTGAAGACGAAACTTTGAAAATGTGAGTTTCGTGAATAAAATTAGTTGGGAATGTAATGGGGCGGGACCACCAAAGAAAACTTGAGCCCATAATAAAATAATATTTTGTAAAACAAATATCAAGGGGTGTTTGATATTGTTTCAAAAAATAGTTTTTATTTTTATTTTAAAATAAGAAAAATAAAAATAAAATGTTTAATAAGACCTGTTGTGTAATTTAGAATCAAATTAAAAAATATATGAGTTATTTTTGTTTTATATTTTTATTTTTAACTTTAAAAAAATATAAAACACCTATTTTATTAATTATTCTACAAAATAATTTTAAAAAATAAAGAAATCAAAATATAATCAAATATACCTTTAATTTTCATAAGTTGATTTTAAAGTTTCAAAGGTTTGGACGGTTGCCGCCAGCTTATGTTTGGGTGTAGTTGGCAATGTCCTTCTAATGTATTTATTTATAATTTGTTTCCAATCTATTCTCTCTTTTAATATAAAAGGATTATTTATAATTTTTCAATGTAAAATTTATTCAATTAAAATTATCACGTTATATTTTTTTTTAATCTTAGTTTTCCCATTTTGTTTTTTGTTTTTGTTTTTGAAAACTAAAGAAAAGGAAACAACAAAAGATTACACACCATTTCTGATCATCGTAAGGGTACCAACTTCTATCATATCCTTCTCAACTAATCTATCACACTACAAAGAAAGGCTAACAAAAAATTAGACTTCCCAATCATTAAAATTGCCAAAGTTAGCCATCCAGTCAGCAATTGAGTTTCCTTCTCTAAGGCTGTAGGAGATAGACACCTCCAAGGACATTTAAGCAGAGCAGAGATTATACTCACAAGATTGGAATAAGGGTGATGAATCCCACACCTAGAACATATAAGATTTAGAGCCGTAGAAGAATCCCTTTCCAAGCAAATATGAGAATAGCCATTAGCCCAGGCAGCCTCAAGGCAATCCATAACTCAGCCAAGAGTGCATTTTCACATCTCAGGTTCTTAGAGAAGCCCAAGATCCAAAGGCCTCTACTATCACGAATCACATCATCGCATCCCTTGCCATTGTCAACACCTTTACAAGAACCATCCTTGTTGATCTTAACCCAATCGTTGGGGGGAAAGCTCCAACAGATTACAATTTCAATTCTAGATTGGATGGAAAGACCAACACTGTGAAGAGTGGACTCAACCACTGAGATATTAAACACAAAGGCTGAGATACTTCTAGCAATGGACAAGGGGTCACGATGCTGGTCATTAAAAACCATATTGTTCCCCTTTTTCCAAATAAACCAATAAGTCACACCAAAAATGGTTGCCCAATCGAGAGCCATGGAATCTCTATGCGTAGGTTGAAGATTATTGGATAACCAGTTCTTAAAATCATGGCAAAAAAATCCAATCCTATCCTTGGGACATATGAAGCAACTCCAAATCTCCTTTGATACTCTATAGTCTTTGAAAACATGAGAAATTTCCTCTATTGGATGGTGGCATCTAGGGCAAAGAGAGCTCTCTCCCATATGACGTCTCCATCTTTGTTCATTAGTCAGCAACTTGTCTCCTAACATTAGCCAAAGGAAATATCTAATACGCTGGGGTTCTTTCCAGTTTCA